GCAAAACAAGCCAAAGTGGAACATAACCTTGCAAGCTAATGCAATTAAGCATTTATGCGCAATGACAGATAGAAAAGCTGAATAAATAATGCGCAAATACCTGGCAATCACTGCCCCATGTCTATTAGACAAGCTGAATAAATAATGCGCTAATAATTGGCAATCACTGCCGCGCATATAATTGGCAATCACTGCCACGCAAATAATTGGCAATCACTGCCCCATGTTTATCAGCTGCACGTGGTCACGGCTAAAAATCCATGCAAGGAATTAAGGATTACATGTTCTCATGCTTTAGAAAAGTAATATGGCACAAACAGACATGCAGCAATCATACACAAGTGTAAGGTAGGAAAGAACTACTACCTGGTCTGCTTCCCTCCAAACCAAACCTTACCGTTCTCCTTTCTTTCTGCTTCTTGGTGGGCTTGACCAGATATCAAACCTATCATATCCATAAGGATAGATTAACTCTTGATCCAATTGTAATTCATAAATTAAATAACTCTTTAAATCCCAAGTATTCTTTAATCTCTACCCTTACATAGCAATGGATCATCCTGGACAATTTTTCTTATTCAAACTATTCTCTTTGGAATGTTTCCTTCCTTATCTCAACCCAAACAGTTACTTTACTTAGTAACTGGTTATCTTAGTCACTAACTTTACCATTGAGAATTTTTCAAATACAAACCTTTAAATAATTTCCAAACATCATAACTATTAACTTATCCATTTAAAATCTCCATCCACCACTAGCAAACCTCAAGCAATAATTTTCAAATCAATTTCCTAGTTTAAATTCTTTGATCCCCAAAACAGCTGCAACTTTAATTCTAATCTTAATCATTAAGTCTCTAAAACTTCCCACTGTTTTCATTCTATAACTACTAGTCCATTTCTTTAAACAATTATATCAATTCCTTAAAATTAAAACTCACGGCTCATATATATAAAATATATCCAATGGAAATTCCATTTTTAATAATTAAACCTTCACTATCAAAGAATCCTTTTCAATATCACATCAATAACTTCTTTGGTCCTACCTCATTTTCCTTCTTCAACAATTTAGTTCACTTGACTCATTTCCAGCAACTATACACATAATTAGTCGCTTATATATATATATATACACACACAGTAATTCGTGGTGCTAAAACCCATGATTACATAAATCAAGAACTAGAAGCCCAACCATATTTAATGCAAACTCCTTATTTCATTTTTCTTTTTCACCCCATTCGGCCAGCTTTGACAGCAACGCGCAAACACACACACACACACACCTTTGATTCTCCCTTGCACACAAAAAGGTCAATCAACAATTCCTACTAAAATTCTTCTAACAGCACGGTCAACACCGGATAGATGAGTAGGCCTTATTCGACTTATGCATATACATCTACATATTTATCTCCAAAAGTCATCGGGTAACAGAACCCAAAGAACATGTAATAGCATTCACATACATTTATATATCCTCAACCTTGCTTTTCCATTGAACCCGATGGCTTACTCACCAAAGCAAGGAGTCATGACTTCGAAACTTTATATGCGATGAAGTTAGACAACATGCAATCCCAGAAAACACACACAGGCCTCATTCCTTTATCATTTCACACCCCAAAACCAGACATTCATTTAAATCATTAGCCCCTGTTTCGGTCAACAAAAACAGATCAATTTTCCATACATTCAACAGTAAAAACTTCACGCTAAACCAGTGGCTAACACCCCAAAACCGACATGCAATGGCAAATCACATTATTTCCCTTCTTTTCCATTAAAACCCGACGTCCAAGGCTTCAAAACTTAACCCCTGTTTCAGTAATCATAAACAGAGACGAAGAGGGAAACCTTTAGACCGAAAGACACGCATGAAATTTTCAGACTGACATGTAGTCTTCAAACCAACATACAAGACTTAAACTCACTTACACAAGCTTTAATCTGCTTGTTCCATCGTTATTTCATTTGTTTTCCCCCATTTCTTCATAACCCAGAAATTTCATTTTCCCATCAACTCTTCAATCTCATAGAGAATGGAGAAAAGAAGGGTAGGAGGGTGTTCAGAATGCTCACCTTAGCCGAAAATTACAATTGCATGTAAGCTTCACCACATCCGGTCACTCCTCTAGCTTCGACGATCTCTGGCTCTCTCCCTACTCTCACTCTCGGTCATTCTCTCTCTATTTTTCCTCTGGTTTTCGATGCAGAATGAAATGAAGGAGGTGGATAAGTGATCTGATGGTTTAAAGGGCGAGGCACACGTGTGAGGTGCGGGAGATTCTTGGACCATTTTGCCCCTCTATCATATTTATTCCTCAAATTTTATCCTACTCCTATTTTTCTGAAATATAAAATATATCCAGAAATTAAATTAAAATATGTTATATGGATTTTTCTTATCCATTAGCTTCTTTGACCCATAAAATAATTTTCCTAAGAATTTCAGGTCAAAAGTCCATTCCTGACTATTTTTCTGAAATTTTCCAAGAAAATAACTCTTAATTCCAGAAATTAATCCTTAACCCATTTTAAGGATTTTATGCCTCAAATATCTTCTTCACTATCTCAAATGATCATCCTAAAATTTTCAGATTAAACATAAATCTCTAAGTATTTTTCCATAATTTTCAGAGAAAATAAACCATTTTTCTCTTAAAATTATCTATTAAAAATATTTAAGCTATTTTTGGGGAAATACCTTTTCCAATATGTCTCTAAATCTTAAAAATCAATATTCCATAATTTTTCCCACTTTATTTTGCAAATAAATAATTTTAATGAATTTCTCTCTTTTCTGCTCATCTTAAATCATAAAATTCGGGGTGTTACATCTTATATTTAGGATTAAAATAAAAGACAAATGAACTCTTATATTAAGGACCAGAGGTAATATATCAATAACTCCATAATATCTCAAATAATTTGACCTGCAATAATATTACTTGATGCTTAATTCGCTCCAAAATCATATATGCACAAAAAATTAGTTTATATTTGTTTGGGATATATCCCCTTGTTGTAATTCGTTTAAGTGAAATACAACTTCTTTTATATTTATTAATTTTAATTTTTATAACTTATATTTTATTTATATTAATATATCATATAATTACCTCGCTTTTGTTAAATGATTTTGAGGAGGGGTCTTATAAAATTATAATAATTTGTTATTTTAAATCTGAAATAAATTTCTCATAAAATAAAAAATTAATTATACAAATTTTTTTATTTTGTAAAAATTGTGTATATAATAAATTATATAATAATATAAATTATAATAAAATTATATAACTTTTATTTTCTAATTTTTTCAAAATTTTAATTTTCACATCACTGAACAATGTCTGCATATTTTTGAATTAATTTTTGCACAGGTTGTAAACTTTAAGAGAAATCAGGTTTAATTTAGTAAAATTTATTAATTCGTATTAGTTTTAAGAATAAAATGTAGGAGGGAATATTGAAGAAATAAGAGGTTTGGATAGGGACAATATGGTATTTTTAGATTTATATTGGAATATTTGGTCCTCTTAAATAATTTTAATTTTTATGATCCTCTCTCATAAATATCACTCCCTATTGGTCATTCTCTCTATTTCTCCCCAAAATTTATACAATCTGATAATGGAGGCCAACACCAAATGTAACATCATGATTTTTAATAAAATATTTAGATGTGTTTAGAGTTTAAATTAATCAAGATCTTGACATGTTTAAATGGATGTTTGAAGTTGCGGAGGACTGATCATGTGTTAGATTAAGGTTGGCACTTTTTTTTTTAATATCATTATCAGTTAATGATTAAAGTTTAATGCGCATGGATAAAGATAACCCAATAAATAGAGGTATTATTGGAAACAAAAAATAATTATTGGAGACAACAGAAAATGAGTTATCATATTTAGAACCAAATCAAAATCATCAAATAGACCTTATATTTAGGACCTGGGGAATTGATTTGTACATGCAAATAGTTCTGTATAATCAATTGATGAAATTAATTTGGTAATTAATGCAGGAAATCCGGCACATCAGAATTTTCCCAAAAAATAGATGTGAAGTGTTATTTTTCTCGTCAATTCTAAGTTTCTAACTCGCTTAGTTTAAATAAAATTAAAAGGTGACACGTCCAGAAAATTTTTTTAGAAAAATTAGAGTGCATTTCTTTGCTAACACACAGTTAATATTCCATTTGGTAATTTGTTCTGTATTCCTCAAAAACGGGTAAAGACAATAATTAGAACATTATTATCCCTTTGGCGGAAAGGGAGGCAAGAAAAAACTTTAATGAGCTTTATTTAAAAAATTAAAAAAGTGAGGATAAATTAATTTTTATTACTAATCTTTTATCTTTTATCTTCTTTTTATAAAAATTTTAAAACCTCACTTCTCTAATTCTATACATCTAACTCACTAAAATTTTCCTTTCCTTGTCCTCCCCTCCATTCTACTCATACCAAACATAGGTAACAGAATGCTCTTTGTTTATTAAATTTCCTTCTTTTCGCCTCCTCTCCTCCCACAATTTTGTCCGTTTATTGGTTAATTCCACTTAATGTAACCTTGCTATTATTAACCCTGTTGGTATTTGGCACATAACGGATAATGCAAATAAAAGTTTCTTCAACGGAGATAAAAATCATAGAAAAATAGAATCGATGAAAATTTCGCTGGATTAAAAAATATTGCAGATCGACAGACCTGGAGAAACCCTGTTGGTATTTGGCATTTCTTCTTGTACTTTATATTTTAGTGTTAATATTAATAATTGATAATTATTTACCAGTAAAGAGAAACTCCTTTTTTCATTCAATAGCAGTTATACCTAAATTAGAACATTGGTCCTTTATTGTACATTTATTCATAGAAAGGGGAATCATAGGTCACTATAAACTTTTTGTTGATATAATTTATTTGTCACCAAGAATAGAACTTGATGAGGATAGTGTAGTGGAGACAGTGATGATACATATATATCTGTTGAATAATTAAGCACACTGAAAGCCCCTGGGGACGCTTCTGCCACAGGTGCTGAGAATCGTGCTCAAGGTATGGGAAACGTTAAGGTTGATGCCTAAGACATTGACTCTAATGGCCGTGCAGAGGCAGGCGGCGGCTTCGAGGTCGACGAGGCCGTTAAGATGGGGACAGCAATCGCTCTTGCCGAGTTGGACGTTGACGGTACCCAACAGGTTGGCGCAGACACCTAACTTAAGGGCGTCAATAGGGCAACTTGGCTGATTTCCTGAGGAAGGAGGAGACGGCGATGGTGATTGTCCATTAGTGCGACGAGATTTCATCATCTATTCGCAGTATACTTTTTGGACATTTAGAGTTGAATAAAATGAATAATTATTGTTGGTTTAAAGCCTAGCAATAGATGTAATAAATGATTTGGTATGTAGAAAACTGGCAACTAAGCCAAAATAATATACAGACAACATGTTTCATAATTCACTTCTATTTTCCTACCTCTCAGTATATGCATGGCTTATATTAAATATGAATTATCTTTCTTTTCTATTCAAGTTCTCTTTTTTTTGGGCCGTTGGATCCAATAAAACTCAAATTAGTACTCTAAATTATCACATAACTAAGTAAAAAAAAAGGCTTCATGTAATACAATTTCTTCCTATATACCTCTTACTTCCTTTTTATTTAACTATGAGACTTCTTTTTATGATACCCCTTGCTCACAATTCATCTCAATAATGATTGACAATGCTGTTCAGTTTCGTTATTTCCAACTTTGTTCTGCCTTTCTCTCTCCAGTTATCGTCTTTACCTGTTGTCAAGGAATATCGAACAAATTATCAAATGGAATATTAATTGTGTGTGAGACTGTGAGCAAAGAAATGCACTCTTATTTTTCTAAATTTTACTTTGGATGTGTTACCTTTTAATTTTATTTTAATTAAGCGAGTTAGAATTTACAAGAAAAGTAGTACTTATTCATATGCATTTATTTTCTAAGAAAATTTTAGTCCCAAATATAAAGTCTATTTGATGATTTTGATTTGGTTCTAACTATGAGGACTCATTCCCTGCTGTCTTCAATGATAAATTTTTGTTTCGAATAATACTTCTATTTATTGGGTTATCTTTATCTATGCGCATGGGACTTTGATCATTAAATGATAATGGTATTCTTTTAAAAAAGTGCCACAAATTTTCTACATATTAATTACAAATGAAAAATTTACCAACCTTATTCTAACTTCGGATCAATTCCCACACTTCAAACGTCCATTTAAACACCTCGGGATCATGATTAATTAGAACCTAAACACATCTAAATCCTTGATTAAAAGTCAAGATGTTATACTTGAAGTTCACCTTCATTATCATATTGTATAAATTTTATCTTGGTATTAAACAAATTTTCAACATTCTTTTGAAATAATAGAAAAGATTTAGAGACATTAGACTTTGTATGAAGAGGATAAAAACCATGTAAATCATTACTATAGATTTTCAAATATATGTCGCTCAATGCGTAAAAGTTAAATACAAAGACAGTCACCTATCGTGAGGCAGAGATCATGCTAACAAATCATGACGGTCATAATTGAAACTCATGTATTATTTAAAAATATGTGACGGTTTCCTTTCAACACCATCGCCTTTTTGTTGTGAAGAAATTAATTTAAGTTTCTACAAAACAAAATATGAGGGTTTTAAAATACAACTGTCACGTAAAGCACTTCTGAACCTTTCACTTCCCTCTTAGACTATAGGCTCTGTTTGGATGACCAAGCAAACCATGGTGTGGAAGCTGAAACCATGGCTTGCACATGAAGTCATCCAAACAGGCAGGCTCCCCATCCGAAACGTGGTCCAGGCTGAAACCATGGTTTCCACCGGTGAAACCATGGTTTCACCAGAAGCCAAAAATTTTCGCTTCCTGGCTCTAATAATTGAAGGCAACGTCTGACCCCAAAATACCCTGCGCTGACCGACACTTTGGACTCTTCTCGCTCTGCTCGCGCCTTCATCCTCAGAGGAAGCTCACTCTACTCGCGCCTTCATCAGAGGAAGCTCGCCTCTTTCTCTGCTCGCCGGTTCGCTCTTCTCGTGTAGCTGCTCTGAATTTCACCGTCGATCTTCACTTCGCCGCTGCTGCTCGCCTCTCTTCACCCAGCTTGCTTGCTCGCCTCTTTGCTCTTGACTTCGGCGTCGCTACTCTGCATTTCGCCGTCGATCTTCACTCAACTCGTCTCTGAGCTTCATCAGCTCACCTCTTCCCCTTCTTTCGCCGTCCCTGCTCCGATATTTGTACACCGGTGAGATCGTGGAGGCTTTGAATTTGGCGCGTTGGGTTGTCCAATCTCTTACCTCGGTAGTTGACCCAGTCAGGTCACCGTGCAGAGCAATTGGTGAGGTCGCCGTGTAGAGCTTGGTTGGTCAGGTAAGCTATCTCCGGTGACAAAAAAAATTTTATTGCTGGCTTCAGTATTTTCCCTGTGCTAAACCGAAAGATTTTGGAAACTTCCTCCCACTTTCGCTTTTGAATTTGTTCATGACTGGCATGTTGATCGAAGGAATGAGATATTATTTCTTGCTTCAGTATTTTCCCTGTGGTAAACCGAAAAATTTTATTGCTGGCTTTAGTATTTTCCCTGTCTTTATTGCTTGATTTTTGTATGAAACGAAATGTGGTTCTGGAGGCAGGGAATATATTTGGTGATATTGTTTTGGAGACGAGAAAGGCTGCGAATTGAACTCCACTGGGTATATAAAATGCAAATTCGTTTTGCTCTGGTTGCTTGGCGTGGGATCCCTTTTTCCTGTACAAATTCCCCCAGAAGAAGCCTGTGAAGTCGAACAATATATTGGGACATTGCTTTTATTTTTGGAATGTGATTTGGAATGTGTTGTCGTGAATTATTGTATTAATGACTTTGATAAATTTATGGCCAATTTTTGAGAGCCAGGACAAATAGAATCACAACTCAAATCCATGTATATATTGAAAGAAATGATTTGTATTTTGGTTAGAGGTTTATATTGCTGGTGTTTTATATTTTCAGTTGACAAATCCAATAATTACATTCATCATGAATATTTGTATTAATTACACACATGAACGAATTTTTTTGAAAATTATTTGTAATACACAGTTGTTGCAAAAGTTGAGTACAATATGATTTATGGTGCATGATGGTTCAAATATGATTTATCCTATTATTTTGTCTTCCAATCGTCTTTGTACAATAGTTAAGAAAAGGAAAAAATATATATAATTATTTAGTTAGTTTTGACGTTTTAAAAGTTAGTATTTTCAAACAAAAATAGATAATGAAGTTTCGAATAGGAAGGGTGTATTTTTTCTGGCCATTTAAAATTACAATTTTCTTGTGTTTGTTAATTTTTCTCGCGGTTGGTTTGGTAGGAAGGAATTGAGATTTAAAATGTGATCAACTTTTTCACCCATTGCAGTAGACAATATGATTTTTGTTATTTCAATTGATTTTGAGTTGATTAACCTGTGATGACTGAAGAGCTATAATTGTGCTATAGCATAATGGGTAAGAATACGGTGAAAGCTTCCTGGGACCTACGAACCACAAAAGTGTTTATTGACCTCTGCATTGAACTTGTGCAACAAGGGGAAAGAAAAGGTACTAGCTTAACAAAGAAAGCTTGGGATATTCTTAGTGATAACTTTACTGCCAAAATTGGAAGAGTGTATGAAAAAGCTCAATTTAAGAATAAATATGATTCTCTACGAAAGGAGTGGCAGACATGGGATAGGCTGCTTTGTGAGACAGGATTGGGATGGGATACTGAAAGGAATACTGTCAGTGCAACTGATGATTGGTGGGAGAGAAAAATAAGGGTAATTATTGAACCTTTTGATCTTACATTTTCTCTACTTGTTAATGTTTTGTGTATATTTACTGTTTTTGGAATATTTTATGATATTATTAGTGTCTAATGTGCAGGAAGTTCCAAACTACGAAAAATTCAGAGAAAGAGGACTTCAATTTAGGGATCAATTGACTCAACTATTTGGGAGTGTGGCTGCAACTGGACCACAAGCATGGGCACCTTCTTCCATGACACTTCCAAGTGAAGGAACATCGAATGAAGATTTGGAAGAAGGGTCCGGAGATAGTGATGAAATTTTAGGCGCACCAACTAGTATAAGTGGGGAATTTAACACAGTGAACTTCAATGATAATAGTGGAGGTAGTGGAGGCAACACTGAATTGAGGCAGGATACCAGTGGTGGGGGTACAAGCAGAGGTAGGAGTCGACCTAGTAGCTCACTGGGGGTCAGAAGGAAGAGTGAAGTCAAGAAGAAACGCACATCTCCCTCTATGAAAATAGCGGATGCAATTAGCAAGATTGCTAAAACAAATATTTCTGAGGCTGAGCGTGGAAATGAGGTCATTTCACGAGCAGAAGCTAGAAGGTTGGAAAAAGAAGCGCGTGCTTATGAAATTTCAATTAGGGGAGTCCTGTCTCACCTGAAAACAGTTCCTGAAGTTGTCAGTGATCCTGATTTCTTTAGACGGTGCACACAACTCCTTATGGAACGGCCGGAGGCACGGGAAATGTATGCAGCTCTGAAGGATCAGAAGAAACAACTTCTACCTATTTTGGAGGTTTACACTAGGGATTTATGACTTGCTTATTATATTAGACAGTTCCATATGTGTATGTTTTATGTGACCAGTGAATTGTTATATGAATCAGACAACTCTGTAACTTTTATAAATGTTTCGTAATTTCTACGTAGGAATTCTAAACTTTATGTGTATGTGCACAGGATAAAACGAATATCGATGATGAAATTAAACAGGTGGAAGAGCATGCTAAGGGACTGATAAATCCTGATTTTAATATATTGTTTGATATCTTTTTAGAGATATTTATCAATTAAAGTGGGATAAATTGCATTGATTGTAGATATTTTGAATCAAATATTGATTGCATGAAATTAGAGATTTAATAGGAGATCTTATCATATTTTTATCTCTTTTTAAATAATTGATTTTGGATTTGGTGATAATATCTCAATTTATCTTTTGCAGGCCTTAAAAAAAATAAGGAAATAAAGATAATGAGAAAACTGAAAGGAAGGAAATAAAAAAATACAAAAAAGGAAAATTGGAGACACAGCTTGGATGGCATCAGATTATGATATTATCTATATTTTTATGGATTCAAAAAGAGGATACAGAAATTATCCACACACCTATCCTTCAGATTTGATTTGGATATATATTATATCTCCTCCTTCACGCAGGTATCACGGCCGCCCCCCCTATTCCATTCCTATATATACCACCGTACA